TGAGTCCTCTTTTTTTACTTGTCCGTGTGTCTAAAACATTGTTACGAAATTACCATTATGTCCTCGCCGGAGCGTACCATCGTCAACCTTTTGGCCGAGATAGCTTTCTCTTTCGACGGAGCAATCCTCGGATTAACCCTAGCTTTTAGCTCCGTCCGTTCTGCTTTCAAGTATGCCTCTAACTCCGCCGCTTTGAATAAGATCAAAGAAGCACCCGAAGTCTCCGTCTCCGATCTCCGGTCACTGATTCCGACGACAGAAGAACAACAATATGGGTCGAGCGAGAACGGGAATAGTCATGATCGGCGTATCGTTATTGTTCGCGGAACTGTAAAACCCGGTGATGGGAGTAACAAGAACAACGTCTTAATCTCTTCGGAGACTGGAGATAAAGCTCTTATCATTCAAAGAACTCAAACTGTACGTATACATAATACAATTTACATAATTGGGTACTTACAAAGTTGCAATTTTGACCTAAGTTTGCTTTATGTTTCTCTCAAAAAGGCTTAAACTTGGTAGTGAAATTCAACAATCAGATGATTTCTTCATGATTAGCTTTTAGTTGTGGTTGTGTTTACCATCAAGATTGTATTTTTGAAGAGAGATTGATGGAAGAAACATTATGTTTTGAGAACAAGTAATAGGGTACTTACAAAGTTGCAATTTTGACCTAAGTTTGCTTTTATGTTTCTCTCAAAATGCTTAAGCTTGGTAGTGAGATGAGTTGTTCATGATTTGGTGTTGCTGTGATCTTTGAAGAGAGATTGCAGTTGACCTATTTTGCATTATGTTTCAGTCAGATAGTGATAGATTAAGTTACCATCAAAGATTAAATGTTACATAATTTGGTGGTGTTGTGATCTTTGAAGAGAGATTGATGAAGTGAAAAGCCTTTCTAATGTTGTATTTTTCTTTCTTTTACAGTATATGTATAGTGGATGGAAGACGTTGTTTCAGTTGTCCAATACTCACCGGTTTATTTTGGAAAGAACTTTGCCCAAACAAGGAACTTATTGTATGAGAAGGGTAAAGTTTTTCATGAATCATATTAGTTTTGGCTCTTAATCAGCTTTGCCTCTATCCATTGGATCATACTAGTTTTGATATATAGATTGATGTATCTTTTGCTGTGTGCAGGTTCCGTTTGTTATTGTGGAAAACAATCAAAAACAACCGCTATCTAGTTTTCTCGTTGTTAACATGGATGGTTCAAGGCAACCTCTTCCGCTTACGACTGTGTATAGTCGGTTGCAGCCGATGACTTCATCTCCATTTTCGTTTCTTCAAGCTTTATTGTTCCCTGAGTATCCTGTGAGTATATATACATTCGAAGAAATTTCTGTTTCTTGATAACCAGATGGTTACTCTTGTTCTTTGGTTATTCTGTCTAACTTTGTAATCCCTTCACTTCCAAGGTCGGTCTGCTTGATGTAGAGAGGATTTTACCACCTGGGAGAGATATTACAGCTGTTGGCATCTGCAGTTTCAATAATGGAGTTCCTGAGATCAAGTCATGCGAAGATCTTCCTTATTTCTTGTGAGATTTTCTTTTGATAAAAGAGTATCTCAGATCTCTACTTCATCTTCTTGCTGTTCATGTATAATCAGATAAATCTTTGTGAATAATCTTTGCAGATCAGAGATGAATAAGGATAAGATGATATCGGATCTTATGAGCCGTTCCAGTGTACTATTCTGGGGCGGTCTTATCATGGGCTGTGTGTCTATTGGCATCCTTAGCTTTGCCGCTGTCAGGTACTGGAGTAGTGACACACAGTTAGTTATGGGTTTAGTTTAGACCATGTTTTTTATTTTAAATCTGTTTACGGTCTTATCTTCAGGTCCTGGAATAGATGGAAACTATGGGCTAATCAAAGACAGACGCCACAGACACCAAACCAACCCGTGGTCGAGGATGAAACCGAAGATGCAGATGAGATTCCAGATGGACAATTGTGTGTGATCTGCGTGTCGAGGAGGAGAATTCCTGCATTTATTCCTTGTGGACATATAGTCTGTTGCAGGCAATGCGCCTTAACCGTGGAACGCGAGTCAAACCCAAAGTGTCCGGTTTGTCTCCAGAGCATTAGAGGATCTATGCGTGTATATTACTCTTGA